CGCATCTAACACTCTAACTTTCATATTTACTATTCAACCACTCAAAACATTAATAGTTAACCTAAAATACCACTCCCGTTACCTCCGTCTACCCAAGCTTGTCATTCGCGCGGGAATCGTCCCGATCGTCGTCGACTTCTCCACGTTGTTCAGTCCGCCCAGCCGTCTCCAAGCCTCGTCCTTCGATTTCTGCACGCCGGCTCCGCGCATCCTTCGATTTCTTGCACGCCCAGGCCGGTCATTCTCCAGCCGTGTCTGCTCATCCTTGGATTTCTGCGATTTTTCTCCGGGCTAGAAGTATTCAGCACCAAGGTACTGGATTTTATCCGAGAGCAATATTATGTCCGAGAGCAATACTATGTGCCATAATCTGGATTTAGAGCCATTTAAATATCTTGTTGAAATTTAAGCTCACGGTTCTTGTTTAAAGCTCACGGTTAAGAGTTTGCCATAAAAACAGAACTAACAATTATTGTCGGGAGTGGTTTATGATTAAGTTGGGAGTGGTTTATGATTAATTTGGCCACAGCTTTTAATGTTGACATAGAGCATCTAGCATTCATATCAGATATGGAGAAAGGGCTTGGTGAAGCAATTAAGCTTGTATTCCCTAATGCCGAGCACAGAATATGTATGAGGCACCTTTGGAAAAATATAAAAAAGCATTTTCGTTGTGATGATGGTCAAATTTTACAGAAGTTGATTTGGTCTGCTGCAAATTGCTACAACATACATGAGTATGATTCAAAGTTAGAACAATTATTGCTCATTAGCCCACAAGTCCATTCATACCTAACGTCTTTAACATGCAAGTGGTCTAAAGCTACTTTCTCGAAGGCTATTAAAAATCACTACAACACAAATAACATGGCTGAATCCTTCAATTCGTGGATAGAGGAGGCAAGGAGCAAGCCCGTTGTTGATTTGATCGACATTATACGAGGTATGTTGATGGAACAACGGTCTCACCGGAAGTTAAATTCTAATTCTTGGAAGAACCCTCTTGTTCCATGTGTGGAGGAGTATATTAGAGATGTAACAACTAGAAAAGAGCATTTTATTATACGTCAGTCTACTCCAACAAAAGCTGAAGTTGAAGGAATAAAGGATCGTCACGAAGTCGACATAGAGAGTCATATGTGTACTTGTGGATTTTGGCAGTTATCTGGGCTTCCTTGTGTGTTTGCATTGATGGATTCCTAGCCGGTTGCAGATATTTAATTGGCATTGATGCTTGTCATCTCAAATCTAAATATTTGGGTGTACTGCTTTCTTGTGTGCATGCTGCGGCTTTTGTAGGAATGAGTCATCAGAATTTGTGGCACACATACATAGACGAACACTACTACAGCTACAGGTATGTTCTCTAATTGATTATAATTGTTGTAAACCTTAATTATAAATACTAATAAATTTTGCAGGTATAGAATGGCTTATGAAGGAGCTATCTCAACACTTCCAGGCAAGGAACAATGGTTGATACCTATTGATTCCATATTTGTTTCTCCGCCAATATCAATTAGACCTCGTGGTAGACCGAAGAAGAGAAGAATAAAAAATTTCCTAGAAGGAGCAAAGAAATCAAAAACTAACCATAAATGTGGTAGATGCAATTCATGGGGTCACCATAGAAGCACTTGCAAGGAACCTTAAGTAAAGATGACGAGAATGTTCAGCCTGTTTTCTTTGGACATACAAATAGTCATACAGATGCCACTTAATTTGGACTTAGTCAAATATATGCCATAACATCCTTATCTGCTACTATTTTTGTGTTGGTGTTATCAAATTTTGATTGAATTTTGGACATACAAACTTTGATATTAACTTTGATTTTTGGAATGTTGATTCAAAGTTAGTTTAAATTTTGCTGTTACAGATTTAGATGTAAGGGATTTTGATGTAACAGATTATGATGTAATGGATTTTAGATTGAATTTTGCTGAATGAATTTCCTGCATGCTTTCGGACTGAATTTTGCTGTTACAAACATAATTTTGCTTTCGGACTGAATATTGCTCTCGGAAATAATTTGCTGCATGATTTGCTGAATGAATTTTCTGCATTAATCGCAGATTTTGAATACCGAGAGTAGCAGGTTTTGAATACCGAGAGTAATATTGAGTAAACCAAAGCTGATACAAACCGAGAGCAATATTGATTATACCAAAGCTGAAACAAACCGAGAGCAATATTGATTATACCAAAGCTGATACAAACCGAGAGATATACCGAGAGCAATATTGAGTAAACACTGATGTAGAAGCAAATTTATATTATATTTCATAGTCATTGTTACATCCTAATGATTGAGTCCCAATCAACAATTACAAATACAGCTGCTAAACAAATTTTTCATAGCGATAGCAACAACTAAAATTAGGATTATAACCAAGAGTTTTTTTATCTTTAAAATTTCATCTCTCAATGACAATATATGTGATAGACTTGTTTTGGCAAGTTCTTCAGCAGATCGCGAGTCTGAATCATACGGCAAATCATTTACTTCATCACACCAACGAAAGAAGTTGCAATCGTCTTCTGATCGGTTTCGGGAGCATCTGTAGAATTTTCTTCCTTCACTATGCGACTTGTGTGACGTGTATACTGCACATTGCATATTGCAATGACAATAAATTCGATTACTTGGGTTTCTAATCGGCATCGCTGAAGAGCTCGAACTCATTTTTGCTGTTAAAAAAATAAAAATATTCAACTAAATAGATGAAATCAAAGCAAAATAATTGAAACTTTCATGTTCAGAAAATCTGGAAGAAATTTTATGTAAAAAACTTTATGTAAGAATTTCTGTAAAAAACTTTATGTAAAAATTTCTGTAAGCAAAATAATTGAAACTTTCTGTAAAAAAATTTCAGCTTAAATTTGTAACTTTACTTACCCTAAATTTTCAAACAGCAAATCTGTAAGAAATTTTCAGCTTAAATCTGTAAGAAGTGGAATTATTTGGATCTATAAGAAATTTTGGAAAAATCAACTCAAACAGAAATCAAATATTTCTGTTAGAAGATCAGAAACTTTCAGAGATTTCTGCTTGTAAAATCAACTCAACCAGCAAATCAAAGATTTCTGCTTGTAAGAAATTTTGAAAACCTGACAGAAATTTACAAAAAAAACTTAAGGGAAGCAAATGCGTTTGAGAAATTGTGTTAGAATATCAAAATCTAACCCTGTTGATGCCAATGGAAGCGAGACCTTCAGATGCAATGGAGAAGACAATCCCTCGCACGACCGGAGGAAAGCCAGCCTGCGAAAGTGTTCGAGCGGCGAACGAGCAGCGACCTACCTAGTGGCGAACGAGCGTCGACAAAGCAGCGAACGTTTTTGACGCTTTGAACGTTTTTGACGGAGACCTAACAGAGTGTTAGAAGAGAAATAAGTATGAAAAAAAGGTGGTATATTAGTAAATATATTATTTTAGGTGTTTGATATGTATTTTCAGTACTTTCAAGTGTCATGTATGTAAAAATCATATAAATTGATTAAAACTTCGTTTGTGACGACTTTCTTACTGTTTTCTAAAATAACTTTCTAGTATAAAATTTTTTTGTTTAATAAATTTTGTATTAGAAACTTGTTTTAAGAATCAGTAAAAAAGCTGTCTCAAACGAAGCCTAAATTAAATACCAATGACTTTCAGAACAACAAAGGGTTGGGCTCAAGAAATAGTATCCGACATCCACGAGTAAGTTTACTTTATCTATATAATTAGGCAATCAATGATAATATATAATATATATAGTACTTAGTATTGAGACAAAGTGCAAATCTTAGCTCTGCAAATAATAATTCATCATTGCCTAAATTTTGGAGCAGACAAATTAGGATTAATTATTAATTATGATTAACTGCTTAAGAAGAATGGAGTCTACAATATTTCTCTCTCCTTCTTCACCTCTCCTCCTCTCGTCGATCCTCCTCCTCTTCTCCATCAAGGTGGCTAGGTCAATGGGATATATATATATATAATTTTGGACTGGTATTACAGTGCCCATTTTCCAGCATCCCTGCACTCTAATACAATATTTCATATACTCTTACATCCCTCAACCCTAAGAGTTGATCATCGATATATATGATTGATACGGCATCACAAAATTAGCTTAATCGGGCACGAATCTCGAGGCGAAAGCTAGTTGGAAACTTCAAAAATTAATTCCGAGAGCACCCCAACTCCGATTTCAGCAAGCTTATAGTCGAACTGAGCGTCTCGGAAATACGAACTCAACGACACCAAGATCAACCCAATCCGAGCCCAAATGGGTCCAAATCATGGATCCAAAGCGCTGTTGGAAGGTTCAAACCGCAATTTGAGTTACCAAACGGACTCCGATTTTGACGAGCTTATACTCGAATCGAAGGGCTCAATGAGACGAATCCAACGAGCCCAAGATCACAGAATTCCGACATCACTAAAAAAAAAAAAAAACCATTAATGGTTAGAGATTGCCGATTGGGAACTAATGACGGAGGTTCGGAGAATCATAACACGGAGGTAACAATAACTCTCCGAGTTTCGTCCTATAAAACTTCTCGTCCCCTTACCTCCCGATTGTCCCCTATATTTTCGAACGGGAGAGAGAGAGAGTCGTTTCCTCCCCAATCTCTCCTCTCTCTTCCTCCTGTTGCTCTCCGCATGGAATTCCGTCGCCGGGCGCTCTCCAAGCCCCACCGGTCGCTAACACCGGCGGGGGCGTTCCCGGCGAAATCCGGCTCTTCCACTAGAGTCCAGGCTTCTGACGCGCTGCCCCTCCCCATCCGGCACACTAACAAGCTCTTCTCCGTCCTCTTCATGGCCTCCATGTACTACCTAATGTGCCGGTGGCGCGAGAAGATCCGCACTGGCGCCCCTCTTCACACTCTCACCCTCTCCGATATCCCAGCCATTGTGGGCTTTATCGCATCGCTCGTCTACCTCATTAGCTTCTTCGGCATCGCTTATGTCCAGTCCTTTGTTTCCTCCCACTATGACGAGGACGACTTCCTCCTTTCCAGCGATCAACCTGCTCCCTGCCCCCTTACCTGCTCCAAGAAATCCCCTCTCGCTGCCGAATCGCTCTTCGGAGATGACGAGGAAATTGTTTCCGCGGTTGTCGCCGGCAAGGTCCCATCCTATGTTCTTGAGGCGAAGCTTGGGGATTGCCGGCGGGCGGCGGGGATCCGTCGCGAGGCGATCAGTAGGTTAACGGGGCGTGGAATGGAAGGGCTTCCCCTTGATGGTTTCGATTATTCTTCGATTTTAGGGCAGTGCTGCGAGATGCCGGTTGGTTATGTTCAATTACCGGTAGGGATTGCAGGGCCGTTGTTGCTCAACGGCAAGGAGTATTTTGTGCCCATGGCGACCACGGAGGGCTGCCTTGTGGCGAGCACGAACCGTGGCTGCAAGGCGATTGCGTTGTCTGATGGGGCGGTGTGCGTTGTTCTCAAGGATGGGATGACGAGGGCTCCGGTCGTGAGGTTCGCTACGGCTAAGAGGGCAGCGGAGCTTAAGTTCTTTCTAGAGGATCCCCGAAATTTCGAGACGCTGGAGATTGTATTCAATAGGTATATTTGCCATTCTTTCCTGTGATTATGATGAACTGAAGCCTATTTCAGCTTTTGCGTTTTCAGATTGATTTTGCCTGATAGAATCTTACCTAAATGCTGCAGCGCATAAAATCTTTGCCAATTCATTACTAGGAGATGCCGCTTTTAAAGAAATTAGATCCTTTTTATGGAGTTATTTGCAGCATGCTCGTTTTTGTTGGTATTTTTAATTGCGCTGGTTTCCGTATCAGTGATCTTTGTTGGAAATTGGAATGGTCTTTTTTCATCTTGTATTTCTCGATTTTGTGTTTTTTTACATGAGAAGCTCGTCTTTTTCCCCCTTTCCTTTTCCTTCATCTTTTAAAAATGTCACTTTCAGGATTTTGTAATTGCATCTGTTGAGTTTTAATGAAGGATTTTTTATTATGTAGATGTGAAACTTTGACCATTAGCTAGATTTTTCACATATTTCTGCGATAATTGAAAGAAATAAAGATTGCTGAGAGCAAAATATTTCTTCATTAACTATAATAGTGTTTTTTTTTAATATTTTGAAGGAAAATAATGATTTCGGTGGTCTCGTGGTCTTTGGTTATACAGAACTAAAAATTTTCTTTCTTTTTTGTGTAAATGGCATGGAGTTAATATACATATTTTCTTGGTATTTATAAATAGTTGCCTTACAGTCCATAATTTTTTTTATGAGGAGCTTTTGATCCATTTTTATCCTATTTATCATGCTTTTTTATTTTTGAAAAGAAGAAGAAGAAAATTGTGTTCTTTATCAGAGGCTTTGTTTGGGCTGAAGGAATTAAAAAAATGAAAAGAAAAATAAAATGGAATTCGACATGGTATATGAATTGAATAGAAATTA